CAGCACTTCATCACAACTTCTCTATACAGCTGGGTTCGTCAACCATAACTCCTTCCAGGACAGCCAAGAACCTTGGAGTTGTGATGGATGATCAGTTAAGCGTTACAGACCATATTGCTACAACGGCCCGGTCCTGCAGCTTTGTCTTATACAACATTAGGAAGATTAGACCCTTCCTATCAGAGCAAGCTGCACAACTCCTTGTCCAAGCTCTTGTTCTCTCCAGACTGGACTATTGTAATGCTCTCTTGGCGGGCCTTCCCACATGTACTATCAAGCCTCTGCAACTGATCCAGAATGCAGCAGCCAGAATGGTCTTCAACAAGCCGAAGAAAGCTCACATCACACCTCTCTTCATTAGTTTGCACTGGCTGCAAATAGCCACTCGCATCAAATTCAAGGTACTGATGCTTGCCTACAAAAAAACATCTAAAGACACATCTTTTTCGCCAGCACCTGACCAATTAATACTAGCACTTACCTATTCTATTCTATTTGGTCTAATTTATTTATATAAAAAAGAAAAGAAAAAAAAACACCTAGCAATGTGCGCTGTGCTAGACTAACTGAGACTGGTCACAGCACTTGTATATTGTTGCTCTCTTGTTGGTCTGATTGCTTCTGCTTTGTAAGTCGCTTTGGATAAAAACGTCTGCTAAATGTAAATGTAAATTTTTGGTCCATTTACTGAGAAAATAAAGACTAGATTGTAAATGTGATATAAGATCATTCGTCATCTCATAGTAGCCCACTTGCAAATTGATTCAGAGTCAGCAACGTCAGAATACTGAATGATATGGAGTCTTTAAATGGACATTTATTTTCCAAAATATATACTCAAAATGATTTTAAAACAACTTTTTGTTTTGCAGTCAATGCACTTCTATTGTTGGTTTTATAGAAGTATTTATTGACATGTCAGAACATTTATAAGACTTTTTTTTTTTTTGACACTATCCCAGATTTTAGCATTATTTATACTTTTAACATTGTATATTTATACTATTATTGTTTAATAAAAAATTTACTTAAACTTTGTTTAGTTTCCAAGGCAACATTTCAAATTTTCTTTTAGTTCAAATTTTTTCATTTGGTATTTTTTATTTTAGTATAATTTATGTATTACTATTATATGTTTTTTATTAATATTTTCAATTAGATTTTATTTTTAGTTTTATTTTAATTACATTTTTTGCAGTTTTGTTACATGCTTTTGTAATTTTTATTAGCTTTCGTTTTTCAAATAAAACTATTAGCCTAATTTTTTGTTCCTTGCCTTGCCTAAAGTTTTTATTTATTAATTTTTAATTTTATTTAATTTTATTTCAGTTAGTCAAGGCAACATTTCAAAATTTTGCTCAGTTAAAATTTTTCACGTAATATTTATTTTATATCAGCTTTATTCTAGTTAACGGAGATGTTTTTAATAGTTTTAGTTAACGATAATAACCCTGCTCTACACTTAACAAGTACATAAACCTTTGTCAAGCATTGTAAATAAACGTGTCTGTTTTATGTTAATATTGTTGCAGGATAACAGCCGTCGTGTTGATAATGTGCTGAAGCTGTGGATCATCGAGGCCCGTGATCTTCCTCCGAAGAAGCGCTATTACTGCGAGCTGTGTCTGGACGACATGCTGTACGCGCGAACCACCAGCAAACCGCGCACAGACACCGTGTTCTGGGGCGAACACTTCGAGTTCAACAACCTGCCGGCCATCCGCAGCCTCAGACTGCACCTGTACAAGGAGACGGACAAGAAGAGACGCAAGGTCTGCTCATACATGAGTACCGCTGCGGTCACACCACAAACTACTAGGGATGCAACGATATCAAAATCTCACGATACGATAATATTGCGATATGAAGTTCACGACACAATATTTATTGCAATATTTGAAAAAAAAGTCAAATGAAGAATTGGAAAAAAAATGTACATTTGTACATTTTAAAGTTAAATTATTCTATCTAATGCACTTTGAGAATTCCAAATTAAGAGCTCCAACCCATGTTCTTAACTAAGAAAACTTAAGTCAGAAAAAAAGTCAGTGATTTGACTCGTACCTGAACTTATAAGAAGTTTAAATATATTTTAAAAACTACACTTTTTGCCTGGATGACCTATCGTTTCATATCGTCATGTGACCACGGTTTTTATTAAATTGTAATGATCAAAAACCTGTATAATCAATTGTATTAAAATTATAATTAGAAAATCTTAGAATTTGTTGCGATTTTAACAATATAGGGCCCTATAAAATCCATTTTATTTTTTCCCAAATTCCATGAATTGCATTTTTTTTCCCAAAGTCCGTTTTAATTCTGTTTTCCTTTTTAATTTTTCTGAATTCCATTTTTAAGCTTTAATTAAATTTCAATAATCAAAAACCATGTCTATTCAATTGAATTCATAAAATTGTATAATTTATAAAAATTTTATCAGTAATAGAGCCTATGATGTCAGCTTTATTCTTTCCTGATTTCCATGTTTTCCTTTTGAATTTTTTTTAAATTCAATTTTAATGCTTTAAATTTCAGTAATCAAAAAGCATGTCTAATCAATTGAATTCATAAAACTTTACAAATGTAATCCTTTATTACGGTTTGAATAATAGGCTACTATGAAATGTTTTATTTATTTGTTTTTAGAAATGCTGTACAAAAACGGTGGTAATCAAATAAATGCGTAAACTTCAACTATTTAATGTTTTTTGAATGTAAAAAAGGTGCAATTTTAAGAATTTATGTAATGGTTTAAAATAATTAAAACTTTAAAAACATTTTATTTCAGATAGTTGTAATTTTCATTTAGTTTAACGTGATGTTCTAAAGTAAACTAAAACTGAAATAAAACATGTATAAAAACTTATAGACATTAACAACCAAGAAAAACTAATAAAAATGACAAAAAACAATAAAATACTTCAAAAATTTAAAATGCTAAAATCTAGGCCTAATTCAAATAACAAAAACTATAATAGTATCCCATTTATACTAAAATAACATTGCATGAAACCTAGGGATGTAACGATATGATCAATATCGTGATACCAAAACTGTCTCGATATTATCGTGGTCACATGACGATATGAAACGATAGGTCTTCCGGGCAAAAAGTATAGCTTTTAAAATATATTTGTTTTGGGCCATTATGCTATCTGTCAAACGAACTCAAAGCGAAAGCACAATATGCTTCATCTCTTCATCAAGTCTGTTTTCGCTGCGTGTTTTAAAGTGATTATTATTCTAATTTGTTTGGCTTCCTAAAACAACAGTGTGAATGTAATTTAGACTGAGACAGTAGATCACAAATAAAAAGAGGGTTGAGTCCGCTTAAAGTTCAGGTACGAGTCAAATCACTGACTTTTTTCTGACTTTAAGTTTTCTTAGTTGAGAACATGGGTTGGAGCTCTTAATTTGGAATTCTCAAAGTGCATTAGATAGAATAATTAAACTTTAAAATGTACAAAATTGTAAAAAAAATAAATAAATTTCTTCATTTGTCTTTTTATTTTTAAATATTGCAATAAATATCGTATCGTGGACTTCATATCGCAATATTATCGTATCGTGAGATTTTGATATCGTTACATCCCTAATGAAACCACAAAACATATAATACATATTTAATACATATAAAACATATTTAATATTAATTTTTAAGTTTTTGTAACAGATGCTGTTTTATAGAGTTTGCCATGAACACGACTAGAAAAAATTTGAATATGTGAAAAAGACGCGAAATAAGTCTCGAAAATATCCAGTGTCTCCGTGATAAAAATAATGCTATCTAGTGCTGTCAAATCGAGATTAATCGCATCCAAAATAAAAGTTTTTGTTTACACAGTATATGTGTGTGTATTGTGTATATTTATTATGTGTATATATAAATACACACACATACAGTATACATTTAGAAAATATTTATTATATATATTATTCATATAATTTATATTATAAATAAATATATTTAATATATAAACATTTTTCTGAATTAAGACAGTATATCACAAATAAAAAGAGGGTTGAGTCCCCTTTAAAGTTCAGGTACAAGTCAATTCACTCACTTTTTAAGTTTTCTTAGGAACATGGGTTGGAGCTCTTAATTTTGGACTCTCCAAGTGCATAGAATAATTTAACTTTAAAATTTACAAAATTGTCATTTTTTTCGCAATAATTTCTCAATAAATATTGTATCGTGGACTTCATATCGCAATATTATCGTATCGTGAGATTTTGATATCGTTACATCCCTAATGAAACCACAAAACATATAATACATATTTAATACATATAAAACATATTTAATATTAATTTTTAAGTTTTTGTAACAGATGCTGTTTTATAGAGTTTGCCATGAACACGACTAGAAAAAATTTGAATATGTGAAAAAGACGCGAAATAAGTCTCGAAAATATCCAGTGTCTCCGTGATAAAAATAATGCTATCTAGTGCTGTCAAATCGATGGCGTGGGCAGCGGGAAGATCATCAACGCCTCGCTGCGCCTCAAGTGCCGCTACCAGACCATGAACATCCTTCCCATGGAGCTGTACAAGGAGTTCGCCGAGTACGTGACCAACAACTACCGGACTCTGTGCGGCGTCCTGGAGCCGCTGCTGAGCGCCAAGAGCAAGGAGGAGGTGGCCTGTGCGCTGGTGCATATCCTGCAGAGCACCGGCAAAGCCAAGGTCAGAGCGCTCCGCTCACGTCCATAGGCCACGTACACACTGCAGGTTTCAGGAGCGACAGCCGCATTTAAATGCAGGAGTGAGGCCCGTAAATTATTGCTCTAAAGCCCTGAGGTAAAGTCAGTGTTGCCAGATCTTCATAGAAAAAAAACAACAAACAAGGACAAGCACAAAAACACTAAAACACCCAAATGCTTTGTTTTATAACACACACACACACACACAAAAATCATATATCTCATATCTGCAATAGACCACTTTATTAACTCCATCTTTATGAGCTAAGACCAAACAACATGCCTAAAAGCGCTTGTAAATATGAGGACATGGCAACACTGCAAGACAGCGCTCTCTAAAGCAGCCTCCCGAGCATTAACAAAACACAGCACGTCGGGAAGCTGCCTCCTTGTCATTTCTGACTTACAACAAAAAACAGAACAATGTCTAAAAGCTGCTGTGTGACAAGATGTACAGCAAACAAGCTAAAAAAACAGATCTACGTAGGGTTGTGACGTATGGGATTTTTTCTTACCTCGGTGAAGAAGCAAAAAATCATTTCCGCCGCCGCCGCAGAAATCTGTAATGAACAAGAACCCATGAGGCTTGTAAATGAACATGGAAATGAATAATAATAAAGCAGTCTTCTTTATTATGCAAATTATAATAACAATAACAATATTTATTTTTAGAAGTTTGTTGTTCCCTTTCAGACGGTCACTCTCGACGTCATGTCGGTGACCGACGAAATGGGAACTCGCTTAAAGAGACCAAACCACTTCGAGTGTAAACTAAACAAGCCAATACACATTGGCATGCGATGATTGCATCCAGCTGCCGCTGATCAAAGCGTGAGCATTAAAAGGCAGCCGGAGCAATGCATACCAGCTTTTCGCTTCGGTCACGATCGCTGCCTCATGTGTCTTGGGCATTAAACGCGCTGAGGTTGCGTTCGCGGATGAGTCATGTTCCCATTGCGGGAAGATGACCATCTCGGAGCTGCGGGCCAGGCTCTGTTTCCTCCAGGGGGGGCGGAGCTCCGTTGCCTCTGCCGCGATCTAGTGTTCGGCAAGGACTACTTCGGGCAGTAGCACAGGCGGTCTGAGGGTTACAGTGGTGGCAAACCCCTCAGGGAACCAACCCTCGGGAGACCATCGCTCCTCTAGCGCTTCGCAACCAGTCGAGCCGCCAAAGATATCCTTCGGTGCTCCTCCCGACGACCGGATGTCGATCACTGCTTCGGAGGGAGAGCTCTCTGGAGAGGAAGATTCGGCTGCGCTGCCGCCCTCCAGGACAGTGGCAACATCTGAATCAGATCCGAAGATGTCGGCTATGCTTTCCCGGGCTTCCAAGAGGGTAGGGCTCGAGTGGAAACCTCCACCGCGGCCCAAGCCCTCAAGGTTGGATGATTGGTTTCTCGGGGTGGCTCGCGCTGGTTCTCAGCGCCCCGCCCCAGTTACTTTCTTCCCAAAGGTGCATGAGGAGCTCACCGGGTCATGGACGGCACCTTTTACTGCCGGAATCGTCTGGTCTGACCGGCGGTGCTTATACGGCTTGTGGAGAAGCTGCCTCCGCCTTACACGGTATGCCGTTACTGCAGGTTTATCAGGCCAAGGCACTGAAGGACCTGCACGAGGGTGGTCACGATCCGGTAGTTCTGAAAGAGCTCCGAACCGCCACTGACCTCGCGCTCCAAGCGACGAAGGTCACAGCGAGTTCTCTGGGTAACAACCTGAGGTGAGTTCTTACCTCAAACGGGTAGAAGCACTGAGAGGCCCCCGTTTAGTGTCGGCTTGCTAAGAGCCCCGGCCTACACCAAAAAGGGGCGCAGGAGGCTCGCACAGGACACTGGAAGGGGCAGCATCCATGGCTCTTTGGTAGGGATCCCAATTCGTCGGTCACTGACGTGACGTCGAGAGTGACCCGACTGAAAGGGAACGTCTCTTCACCATGGCTGCTGTACCACCGCTGAGCGGCCGGGTTACCGTCTCGGCTCCGAAGCGAAAACCTGGTATGCGTTGCACCTGCTGCCTTTTTATGTTCACGCTGTGATCAGCGGCAGCTGGATGCAATCATCGCATGCCAATGTGCATTGGCTCATTTAGTTTACACTCAAAGTGGATTGGTCTCTCTAAGCGAGATCCCAATTCGTCGGTCACCGACGTGACGTCTCCGTTCCCTCCTTCAGGGAACGAAGGTTACATGCGTAATCGAGATGTTTTTTCGATATCTTTTGAGTTTAATGGGAATTATGGAACCGTTTTTGTCATTGTTTGTTACCCATTCTTTGTACAATAAATTATTAAAAGAATAACAACCTGAGAAAGCTGCAGAAAGAACAAGCGTAGCTCAACACGAGCGAGTTGTGCTAAACTTCGATTCCTATTTCTTTAGACATTGTTTTTCGGGTGACAGTCCGTGGATATAAACGCACTCGTTGAAACTTTTAATAATTCATAGTTTGTAACAGCAAATTATGCTACATTTATAACAACAACCTTTTTTAAAGTGCAACATAAAAGAGGCTTTTTTTAATTAGTTTTTTTTTAAGTGCAACATCAGGCTAGCCTATAGTCTGTGCAAGTGTTCGGCTGTTTTACTACTGCGCCGCTTAAGTGAATCGGCTAGTCCTGCTGCTTTATTTTTCGGTCGTTATGTTTCGTGCCAGGAAAACCAACATGTTCACTTTGTCTGGTTTCAGTGAGGATCTTAACGGAGTGACAATGTGGACAGCGGTGAAACAAAATTATGTTGGTCTAGTAGTGCTGTGTTCAAAATATCGATACGACGATGTATCGTCACAGAGATTTGACGATACGAGTATCGATACAGCTGGCCCTGTATCGATATTGTGGCACGTGTGCAGCAGTGGCATGTGCACGTGCTCTCTCTCCGCTGAGGATAAACGCGCTTGCTTTCTGAAAACACCGCTTAGCTTGCAGTTTAGCAATCTCCACTTCAATATTCTATTCTCAGAAAAGTGATTCATCAACTGTTCATTTATGAGAGAGAAAAAGGGAGAGCGAGAGAGAGAGATAGAGAGGCTGTGTATGTATGAATTACCACCGTTTTGCCGCGTTTCTCTATTTGTATAGATAACATTGTGCTTAATGGGAAAACCAGTTTATGGCATTTTTAGACACATATTTCATAAAGCAAAATGGTATATCAAATCATTTTGTTATACATTTTATAGCATAGTTGAGAACCATCCTTAAACAAAGTTAGGTATAAAAAAATCCTGAAAGCTAAAAATTGATTGGTGATTTAAATCAAATGAGGTCAACTGCCTGCTCTGCCAATAGTTAGAAATGGCACTATAGTAAGCAGTGTTTAATAAACAGCTGTTTTACTAAATTCTTCTGAGGTGAAATTCAGTGCAGTCCTGTATCGTGATTCGTATCGTGGCCTCTGTATCGTGATACGTATCGTATCGTGACTTTGCTGGTGATACACAGCCCTATTGTCTAGTGCCCCTTTTCCTAACCTTCCTTTTGTTTGAGAAATGATCTGAATGAAATACTCTGACATCTAACTATTTGTGTCCTTAAACGCTTGTTTTTGGCTCGACAGCTTATAAAAACGTAGTTCTGGGTTTTTTAGCTTGTTTGCTGTACATCTTGTCACACAGCAGCTTTTAGGCATTGTTCTGTTTTTTGTTATAAGTCAGAAAATACAAGGAGGCAGCTTCCCGCAATACAGAGTCAACGGAGAGCGTTGGATTGTTTTCCCCCCGGTGGGCGTGGCCTAAATGTGTTCTGCCTCTGTAGCAACATTTTGGCGTCTTGCGGGAGTGGAGAAGAATTTAGCCGTTTGGTATCTGGCTAAAGACTCTTTTTGTCCGTTTATTTTAACTAAACTACCGCTGATAGACGTGCTGTGTTTGGTTAATGCTCGGGAGGCTGCTTTAGAGAGCGAGAGCGTTGGATTGTTTTCCCCCCGGTGGGCGTGGCCTAAATGTGTTCTGCCTCTGTAGCAACATTTTGGCGTCTTGCGGGAGTGGAGAAGAATTTAGCCGTTTGGTATCTGGCTAAAGACTCTTTTTGTCCGTTTATTTTAACTAAACTACCGCTGATAGACGTGCTGTGTTTGGTTAATGCTCGGGAGGCTGCTTTAGAGAGCGCTGTCTTGCAGTGTTGCCATGTCCTCATATTTACAAGCGCTTTTAAGCATGTTGTTTGGTCTTAGCTCATAAAGATGGGCACTTTATGGAGTTAATAAAGTGGTTTGTTGCAGATATGAGATATATGATTTTTTGTGTGTGTGTGTGTTATAAAACAAAGCATTTGGTGTTTTAGTGTTTTTTGTGCTTGTCTTTTTTCTATGAAGATCTGGCAACACTGACACTTAACCGCAGGACTCGTGAGCGCAACTAACTCAGGTTAAGACTTCTTTCACTGTTATTTTCTTGCATCTCACATACAGACACATTTCTGATGCACGTTCAAATACGTCATTAACAGCTAGTTTGTTCAGTTCAGTTCCGTACACACGGTGTAGAATTTCTGTAAATGCGGTTGTCACTCCCGTATTTTATTGAATTATGTGTGTACAGAACGCGATTAAGGAGTAAGAGGTGAACTGACAACTGAATTTAGCTGCAGAGAAAATAGAGCTGGGGCCGGTTGCAGACTGATCATAACTTTTTAAAATTCAGTTATGAAAAGATAGATTGGTCTTATTTGTATTGGAAAAGCAAGACCGATAACCACTTGGCAACTGCTAGTACGTTTTGTATAGAATTTTCTTTACTCTTTACTTCAAAAAATATGTCTAAAAAGGGTAATATTTCATGTATTTGAGGGCATGTTAGCTCAGCATTGCCGTCTAATCAGCTAATATTGTCTTAAATAGCCTGCATAGCACTTCATCTTTTATAACATGGGATCAGATATATTCAATCTTGATATGTATGTTTATATATACAATTTTTTTATTTCTAATATAAATTTTATTAATATAAATATAGACATGTAAATATTTTCAAAATATATACATGCATGTGTGTGTATTTATTTATAATAGTGCTTTCAAATCGATGAAAAAAAATTAACTAATTAATCGTGATGAAATGAAATTAATCGTGATTAATGCCACCTACATTAAAGTTTTTAAATATACTTTTATATTGCTAATAAATGTCATATTTACCTGTGCCCTTCAGCAGAAATATACAGAAATTGAAGTTATCAAACACTAAATTCTAAATTAAATATAGATGAATCCTTGAAGCTATAAAAGTTATTGATTTCCTCTTTTTTTTTTTCTTTTGTTCTTTGATTAATAGACATCACAGCAGCTGGTTATTAGGTTGTTTTGGCTGCTATTACTTTAAGAGCTGCTGCTCTGCTGCCCACTTCAGGTCTTAGTCTCTATTAATGAGCTGATGAGTTAAATCGGGTGTTAGATGAGGGAGACGGTGCTGGGCTGCTCCAGGACAGTTTTGAAAACCATTTCAGAGACAATTGCGATTAATCGTTTAACAGCACTAATAGACATATTTAAAAATAATAATAATAATAATATAAATTAGAAAAACGCAACAACAAAATTACTAAAACTTCAACAAAAATTTAAAACTTTAAAAAATATTTTTTTTTAATTCAAACTACTAATAAAAGACTACATTACTACTAAAAGATCACGTGAAGGATCCCTGTGAAGTGGCCAGGCAAGCTGATGTCAAGCGTGTGTGTGTGTTCAGGACTTCCTGTCTGATATGGCCATGAGTGAGGTGGATCGCTTCATCAACCGCGAGCATGTGATCTTCAGAGAAAACACACTGGCCACCAAAGCCATCGAGGAGTTCCTGAAGCTGATCGCGCATCGCTATCTCAAAGACACCATCGGTGAGTGAGTGAGTGAGTGAGTGTGTGTGTGTGTGTGAGAGAGAGAGAGAAAGAGAGAGTGTGTGTGTGAGAGAGAGAGAGTGTGTGTGTGTGTGTGTGTGAGAGGATGATGAAGATGATGACAGTGATGCTCTGCAGGAGAGTTCATCCGCTCACACTGGTCAGTTCCTGTCAGCTGACCAATCCTTGCTTCAGTAACTTTAACACTTTCACATATTCACGGATCTCTGGTGTCACATGACATGCAGCTAAACTAATACACCATTTGATCTTTTTATAGTGTTTCATTTTGATTTGTTTTTATTTACATTTATTTAGATTTTGCGTTTTAATTATTTATTACAAAATGTTTTATTTTGGTTACATGTGTTTTAAAATTTTATTTCAATTTTACATTTTTATGATGTAGTTCATTTTAATTTATGTAGTTTATTTTAGTAGTTTTATTTTGAAATTATTAATTTTTTACATTTTTATGATTTAATTATTATTGTGTTATTTTAATTGTTTTTATGTTTATTTCAATTGTACATTTTTGTAGTTAATTAGTTTTTTATTAGTTTTTATTTTTAATTTTATTTCAATTTTATTATTTAATTAATTATTAGTAAGTGTTTTATTTTGATTGTATTTATTATTATTTTTTAAATTTTACGTTTTTTTTAATGTAGTTAATCAGTGTTTTATTTTGATGCAATGTACTAGATTAGACATACTAATTCATAGCTTCCAGAGCTGTGTGAAAGCCAGTGTTGAAGTGCGAGGTGCTTTTAGTGTAGGGATGGCAGTGCATGATGGGATGTGTTCTCTCTCTGCAGCGTGTTTCCTCGCGAGCTGAAAGAGGTGTTTGCGTCGTGGCGTGTGCGCTGTGCTGAGCGCGGCCGGGAGGACATCGCTGACCATCTCATCAGCTCCTCTCTCTTCCTGCGCTTCCTGTGTCCCGCCATCATGTCCCCGTCTCTGTTCAGTCTGACGCAGGAGTATCCATCTGAACGCACCTCTCGAACCCTCACGCTCATCGCCAAGGTGGTGCAGAGCCTGGCCAGCTTTTCCAAGTCAGTCACTAGAGTCCAGCGTCATCCAGTCATCCTCACGCGTCACATGACCCTCACTGACACCACCTCACTTCCCCATGCAGCCGGCGACACCAGTGTTGTTCTAGCATCCGTAACACACTCTTATAGTCTCACCATTACAGTTCTGCTTAATATATGTGACCCTGTAGCACAAAACCAGTCATAAGGGTCAATTTTATGAATTTGAGATGTATACATCGTCAAACGGCACAAATAAATCAATGTATGGGAAACACTGGTAATGTATATCGAAATATCGGAAATGTGTTTAAAAATCATATCACCGTTATTGAAAAAAATTATATCGCGATACATATTGATATTGAATTATTGTCCAGCCCTAATTTGAGACTTTAGTCTTTGCAACTTTACAGATCTTCTTTATGCACCAAGAGCTTGTAACACTCCAAAGAGAAAGGAAAACTTGAAATAACATCATATGACCCTTTAATATTTAGAAGTAGTTTTATTTTCATTTTAGTTTAAAGTTTTAATAATTTTGTGTTTTGTCATTTTTATTTATTTTTCTTTTTTAAATATGTATATAGTTTTTAATCATTTTATTTCATTTTTGGTTTTTGTTATTTTAGCGCTTCAGCTTAAAATATATGAAAATAAGAATTGTTGCCTGGCAACTAGCTGAAATAAAAAAAAAATTTATCTTATTTTTTTATATGTTTCCGTTATTGTTCAGTTTAGTAATAGAAGTATTTTGAGTTAGTGATAATAACTCTGCTCTGCTGCTGTGTGTCTCATGGTGTTTAGAGGTGATCTTCAGTCTGTTGGCTCGTCACTTATCGTCTGTCTCTCTCTCTCTCTCTCTCTCTCTCTCTCTCTCTCACACTGCTGTGTGTGTGTTCTCTGCAGGTTCAGTGGGAAGGAGGACTATCTGGGCTTCATGAATGAGTTCCTGGAGATGGAGTGGGGCTCCATGCAGCAGTTCCTGTACGAGATCTCTAATCTGGAGTGTGTGAGTAACGCCGGGGCGTTCGAGGGCTACATCGACCTGGGCCGCGAGCTCTCCATCCTGCACAGTCTGCTGTGGGAGGTCATGGCGCAGCTGAGTAAGGTACGACCCACTGTTCATTTCGCTGACCCATCATTTTCGTCAACGACATTTTTTCACAGTTGAAAACGAGACGATAAAAACTCTTTTTTTAAATAAATAAAAAATCAATAACGAACAGTGTTGGGGAAAGTTACTTTTAAAAGTAATGCATTACAATGTTGCGTTACTCCCTAAAAAATTTACGAATTACGTTACTTAGTTACTTTTTATGGAAAGTAATGCGTTATGTTACTTTTGAGTTACTTTTTAAATCTGGGCAGGGCTTGCTTGTTTGTTTTTAATATTAAAATAAGTTCCTCTTTTACAAACGTAAAAGCCCTTTCACACCAAAAGTGAAATGAATACGGCTCAAGCTGAAGGAAATGTAAATTCACGTCTGTACAGTAGAGGGCGCAGCTCAAACTAATCACATGAAGAATATGACGCAGGAGAAGAAAGTTCAACACTATTCAGCAATAACACAAATTATACACAAATGTAATTTTTGCTTATTGTTATGGATGAATTGGATCATTGAAGGTCAGCAGCAAAGACATTAGTTAATAAAATGGGATTAAATACATAAATGATATTTGTCTTATTTAACATATTTAATTATTGCAGGTTTGTATAATATTCTGAGTTTGCATTTGACTGTTTTTATTGATTTTGAGGAACACTGAATCTGTTTTTGAGTAAACACATGTTGATATTTAGTCTAGAACTACAGTAAGATCATGTTCACACACAACGCTCTGCACTTACTCCTGATTTCTGTCACCATGGCAACACCAGAGCTGTCACTCAACACATGGAAACAAAGTAACTG